AGAAGAAAGAAAAGAACGAAGGAGAAAGAAGAAGAGAAATGGAGAGGGGAGGAGAGGAGAGAAACAAAAGAGAGGAAAATATAAAATAAAAAACAAATTTAAAAAAAAGGGAAATGGGACTAATAATAACAAGTCGGTCGGTCAGAAATCACTTTTCCGACCAAACCGACCGACTATATCTCAGTTTTTTTTTACGTAAAACCGATTCCGACCAAAATTTTAATAAAACCGGTTCAGTCGGATTGGTTTTTCAGTCTCCTATGCTCACCCCTAATCGAAATCGATCTTACCATCCCTTGAATTTGGACATTCATGTGATTTAACGATCAACTTTAACTTGGACAGCTTTAAGAATGCTTCTGTTAAATCAGGACCACATAATAAATATCACTTGGAATGCCCTGTTCAACAATATGGGAAGGTTCAGTTTCCACATCTTTAGCAGATATACTGATGGCGCAAGAGAAGCAGGCATGTTTCGAAGGATTTGTAGCGGTTCGAATTCGAGGTGGTGGGTTTGGCCGTGAACTCTACGAAGATTTCTATCCTCCCGCCCAACCACCAAATACATTTTCGTTATAAAATTCAAATTTACTAGTTTGGTATGGCCTAAGTCAAGAAAACATGAAATGAACTACCAAAAAGCAATGGTTAACAACACTTTCATCCAAATCAAATCGATGTCCAAACCATGGTGCAAAAGACTTTCATCCTACCCTACTGTCGATGTCTAAACTCAGTCCCTTTGGCTATGAGAGCAAAAGAAAATGACATTAAACATGGTCAACGGTGCAAGTTGGATTGATCTTATGTAGCACGTTTGACACAATTATAACCTCAAATCAAATGTGACAAGCTTCGTAATCAAATGAACCCACGAAAATCTAAAATGACCCACAAAAAACCCAACTCAAGTTCAACATAAGACATAAGCCTATCTAATGCCACTTGCAACTCCAAAGCAACTCATATGTTCGCAAAACCCGAATCATAGATCATGTTAACTACCAGATTGTTCTACAAAATGTTTTGATCCATCCATCACTAATCAACTTAGATTAAAATATAAGACTTTTCTATTAAATGACTCCTCTCTATATTTCAAGTTGTCATACGAGTAAAACGTAGTCCTTTTAACAACATAAAGGGTATAAGGACGAAACGACCCTAAGCCGGAAAGGAGAAGTCAAACAAAAGACCTCCAATCAAAATTGATGATTATACACTAGAAAAATGTAAAATCTAGTTAACTATACAAAGGCTCAGAACTAACCTTGAAGTTGAGCTACTTCTGGATTTAAGATGCCGCTTTCTCACAAGTGTTGGATTCAACTACCGAGTGAAACTCTGTACATGGATTGATTGGTTCTCCAATGGGGCAAGCTCCTAAGGAGTTCTGTCCTTAAATTGGAAGCATAATCTTCCCAAGCTGCTACAGCAGTAGCAAGCTTAGCCCACCCCAACCAGGGTTGCTTCTCCTTTTCATCGGAACTAGCAGACGAGAAGACTGACTTGGCTAGTACAGCATTCTTCGAAAACTCGGACTTAAAGTAACTGACTCCCGCATTCCCCTTTGGAGATAAATATACTGCATAGCTTGAATTCCCCTTGAAGTTAGTAGAATCTAGTTCTTTGCCTTTCCAACACATAAACTGCACTACCTGTTTAAGCATGAGTAGGTAAAGCGAATTACTTTTAGTTTTGGAAGAGTCTTTCAATGGGAACTATATAAAACTAATCAAAATAATCATAGTAGTATATGATAATTGCAAAATGATAATTTCTTTCTCGTCATGCAAAAAACGACCAGTTCCTCCTATATAAGGGGGAATAATGTTCAAGGGTGATTTTAAAGGGATACCTGAAGCGCATGCAAAATGTTATAAAATTCCTGAAAGAATATCTTCTTTTTCCGTACTAATTGCACGTAGTCTGAGAATAATTTTGGATAATCTGACAAATCATAGTCCCGAGGAAAATAAATGTCGTATCCGAGCGCATGCAGTCTCGCCCAACATACATCAATACCGAACTTGAAATTTGGATCTTCTTCGGGTGAAAACCAATACATATTACAGGACGGTGGCAGAGGTATACATGAGTTGGGAAAACGATCATGTAAATGGCTTTGTGAAAGAAGGGAAAGTAGTTTTGCATCTTCATCATGGGAATTATCGCGGGTGAACCATAATGTCAGTGTAAGCCTTTCTCCATTGGTTATCTATCCAAGGAAACCAAGTGGTGAGCAAGATGAAGTACAGACTGTCCTAAGAGAGGACTACTATCAACTCTCTTGAGAATTAATCACCTCAATGAAATACTAGTTTCTTAAAGAAAAAAAAAACTGTCAGAGTATTAATCAATATCCATGATCTTTCATCTACCAGTCAAAAGGAGGGAAAAAATTTTAAAAGAAAAAATAAATAAAAAACAGCAAGAAAGTATTAATGCGCTATCTATGTCAACCCATATAGATTAAATGCTAACTACTTAGCAAGAATTTTCTTAAGAGATAAAGTTTATCACTAGAAACAAGCTTATGAAAATTCAACAGAATCTGTAATAGTATTTATTTCAAGTACATGAAATCTAAAATGCAACAAGTTAAAACTACATTCAGGACTGCATGAAAATGACTCATAGGAACAACTCAATTAATTAAGACTAGATGGTCTAAAGAACCCATCAAAGTTCGAATCTCCCAACCAGAATTAGGGCGATATTCATCGATCCCCAATTGCCTGTATTAAAAAAGAGAAAGGTCTGTATGAACAGCAATTTTGTATCTTAATCTCATCCTGATATGCCAATTGATTTTACATGGCATCGAGGCTAGCCTCATTTGCAGCAACATCCAGAAAGGGTCAAGAACAAAAGGCAGGTTTTTTTGCTGCCTCGATGTAAAGAAACTAAGAATTAAGATCTGTTCCAGATACACTTATAGTTCTTAACAAGGAACTATAAGACAAGGTCTTAAATGTACATCCAATTGATGTCTTAAAATTATAGTGGTAACTGAAATCGTGAATGTTTCGTTTTTTTTTTTTTTTGGGAGGGGTGCACCGGATCTGAGCTGTAGTGTAAGGCCCAGGCGATGCGGACCCCAATAGCAAGCTATTGTGGTGGGCCCACCCCTAGACAAATAATTTTAATATCATGTGGACCAATGGCCCACGTATCAGATATTAAACTGATAAGAACAGATAATACGCTTGATCTTAGTCAAAAGGCCGAGAAATCGTGAATGTATGTAAAACTATTACATTATGTTTAAAGTATAGACTGATTTCTGCGGATGCAAACTCTTTTTGCAGAGCCAATACTTAGCATTGGGGAGACTTGATGTTAATCATTTGTACAATGATTTCACATGCACATTCAGAGGGTCAGAGTGCTTGGACATACCTCATCTACAGAATGAACGTTGTGGCTGTCGGCTGTGTACATCACACAATCCTGATAAAATGAAACAAGTATCAACTATACTTGATTGGTCATTATTTCAAACTACTAGGAAACACAATCCACCACACCAATTAGTCGGACTAATTTATTCAAGAGCATTTCTTTTAAAAGAAGCAACTTTTAATTGATATAGACGAATAAATGAAGAACCTACCACCGAAATTCAACAAATCAGAGAACATGCCATTTTCCACATTACTCAACCATTCTCTATTTACATCAAAGAAGAAACTCAACCATTCCTATAAAATATCCCCACAATTAGAATTAATTACAAATGGAGTATAATTACTAAAATAACTAGAAAGGTAACTCCAAGAAGAGCAATGAAATGAGGGCATCAATTCCAATTGTGAAGGATTTAGCTCCACTTTTTTTTTTCTATTTACCATAAATGACTGCAGATTGCAGACTTCTAGGCTCAAAAGAGCACAAAGCACATCCTTCAGAGTTCAAAGCAGCATATGTACCAGATTTGACATGTGTATCCTTCGCAAAAAAGTGACGTGTGTACCATCAATACTATATGAACAAGATAAATTAAAGAGGTAAACAACTTTAATCTAACAACTTACTCCACAAAAAGGAGAGATAGATTTTGGTTCCCCGTCCTGAAAGTGAAACAGCCCACCTCTGAAATCTACTCCATAACTATTCAAGTAACACACTGCCTTTTGCCAAAAATATGAAGATAGCTATCAGCTAGAGTACTGTAATGATAGAACAGAAATAACAAATGAATTGCAGGGAGAAAGTACAGGAATCATAAAAAGGAAATGAAAAACCCCAAGAAAGAAAATATTATAAAAGAAACAAATTAGTATAAAAAGGAGATGAAACTACAATTGAAATGGAAGAATAAGCTATCAAAGGAATAGCAAGAATGGCGTCTACTTTCCCAGGAAAGATTAGTCCACATACTGTAAATTCACGTTGTTTTAAATAGGGCCTGTTATCATCACTATGCCATCCAATGCTTGCCCCTCTCGTCCAGCTGAATTATGACAGAATATTAGAAGAAAAATACAGATTCTACTACACTAAAGTTTTTTTAGAAAAGTAAATCAAATAAAGTATTCTAAATATAGTTCACAAAATATATATATATATATATATATATTTCACTGAAGATATATATATATACAAGAATTCCAAATGAGATTGTCGGGAAATAAAAAAGGAACACTCCCACTAGAACTCCAAAGAGAGGCAAAAAGAGAAAACACAACAGAGTGAATCCCAAAACTCACTAGGATTTTTATAGCAGTCTCGGAAATTCCTCTCATTGCATTCTGCCCAAATATTCCAAAGAAAATAGTATTAATTGTTAGTTATTTTAAGCACTAAATTATATTTGTAAGAACCGACTTATGTTACAAACTATTAAGCAAAATTTTAATTTTTTTTTTATTTTATGTTTAAACTACATGCTTTTTATTGGGTTGTAAGGATCAATTCAAGTATTCAGGTCTTGTCATTGAAATTTTATGATTTTGTATAATTTTTATAAATTAAAAAAGAGAACTGATAGCTTGAATAATAATTATAGGTTTTCAGGATTTATAAGTTTGATATGTTTAGGGTTTTAGGAAGTCAAGGATTTGTCGGAGATTCTTAACCTCCATTTTAGGTAAATAATTCCTGCATTAAGAATATTATTATAAATTATGTATTATCTATTTTAATAAATTTATCAAATTTTTAAATTGGATTGGTTACTTAAAGTATATGCTCTATTTCAATTTTTTTTTTCTTTTATAGTTTCATTGACTACTTATAGTTTTCTTTTGGAAGTGCATGATTTCTATGCGGTAGCCTAAATTTTTTGTTTTTGGGTGAGAGACAAGAAATATATTCACCAAGAACAAAAGAACAGCCCCTGTCAGGGGATGAGAAAGCCCCCTCCCAACAAAAAAAAAATAATGAATCAAAGTTTTTCAATCCAAAAGAA